TTTATTATTGTTATTATTTTGTGATTGAACCTATTTAATTCTACCAGAAGTTCATGAAGGTATCTCTTTTATAGTGCTCTGGACATTTTATTTTCTACCATTTGCATTGTTATATAAATAATTAAGAAAATATGTAATGCTTCAAATCAAGATGTTAGGTGAGCTTAAGGAATATATTTTTTGTACCAGGGATCCAACAGCAGTATTGTGAGAGGTACACTGTCTCCTTTGCTTGGCTTTATTCATAAGCCTGCAAGAAGGCAAATTAAAAAAATCTACCTGGTTCATCTTCCTGGAATGAGGTAGAGGGTGGAAACAGTTACCTAAGTGTAACAGTTGTCTCTAACGGAGTCTTCAGCACTGAGTGCTTGAACAACTGAGCTGACAGATTTATGCTGTAAGTTACAATTCAGGGCTCTACTACTGCAGTTATTGTTATGGCCTTATTAATGTGGACTAAGTTGAAATGAAACTGTAATTCTTGTGTTAAACTTGAAGATAATTAATGATTTATTTTGTTAAGAAATGAAAGAATGATACAAAGAATTGTACAATTTTATATAATTATAAGAGCATTTGCCATAAAAAATATTTAATGTAAATACCAAGTAGCAGGTGAAAGATTAAAATGATCTTGATGATTAAAATTTTATTCTTTTTTTTTTGAGACAGGGTCTTGCTGTACAGTTCAGATTGATCTTGAGTTCACTATGTCGCTTAGGCTGGCATCAAACTCGGCAATCCTCCTGCCTCAGCCTCCTGAGTGCTGAGATTACAGGTGTGCTCCACCATGCCTGACTAAAATTTTATTTTTAATAATACTTAATATGAGTGGCTGGCTGTCTGAGAACTGGGTATAATCTAATTACATATCAGCTAAGTACATACTTTTATGTGAATTTTAGGACAATTATGACTAAGTCTTAGAATTGCTATTCACTGGTACTTGACTGTCTCATTTCACTGGTTTCAAAGGCTGAAATGTTGACCTTGTTTCCTTTGTAGGGAGACGTCGCCACACACCTTTCAGTTAGACTTATTCTTCAACAATGTGAGCAAACCAAGTGCCCCGGTTTTCGATAGGTTGGGAAGGTATGTATCTGCAAGGTAGTTTTGTCAGAAACTCCTGAGTTGATAGGCAAATCTTTTTATTCCTTAGACAGAAAAGGATATATCTAGTAGTAGACTCAAGGATGTGGAATTTAATTTTATTAATCGCCAAAATGAAATTAGTGTGAAACTCTTAAGAGCGTTTTATTTATTTACAAGATAAAAATTTAACTGTGTAAAACACTAGCAGTGTTTTGTTTTCAATTGTGCATACTTGTACACATGACACTGTCACATGATTTGTTAGCAACATAATTTGGAAAAGATTACATTTTGATTTTTAAAAGCATTGCATAACACAGAGCTAGTATTTCCTGTCTCTTTTCTATCATGCTACTGTACAATTTGAAAATCCACAGTCCCATTTTGTAAAATGAGACTTGTTAATAGATAATTCTTTTTATATTATTTAATACATGTTAGATTTATTAAAATTGGTTATTTTGAGGTCAATATCTATTTTTTGGTATTATGAATCAAAATCAGGACCTTGCGCTTACCAAGCTGGTTCTATGCCCATGAGCTGTCTTACCGGCCCATCTGTCAGTATCTGCTTGATAGTAAACAGTTGTTTTCTTTTTCTTTGCTTTTTTTTTGTGTGTGTGCTGCTAGAGTTTGAACCTAGGGCCTTGCATATGTAAACCCATGCTGCACCACTGAATCAAACCCCAGTCCCTGAATGATTTTCTTCAGTTTTGGTTTTAATACACGATTTTTTAAGATTATAATGCAGAAGTTCTGTACCTTGGCTTTACAGTATAATTACCTAGGGTGCATTTGCATTTACAAAAATACTGATGTCTCTAGTTACCCTGAATCAATCAAATCAGAATCTTTGGGGTCTTGATTTATACTTTTTCTTGGTAATGTTTTGTGGGAGAGTAAATTAAGCCAAAACTTTGTTGTTTATTAAATTGAAAAAAAAAATCAAGTGTTTGCTTTGCTTGTATTGAAATGTTTAAATCTAGAAAGACTTATTTATCATCTGTGATTTTCATTGTTTTTTTTTTTGTGGAACCGGGGATTGAACTCAGGCCCTTGTGCTTGCCAGAGAAGCACTTATTCCACTGAGCCATCTCCCCAGCCCTAGTGATTTTCATTGTTGATGTTGTATATTTATTTCTATTCTTTTGGCAGCCTGGAATATGATGAGAATACTTCTATCATCTTTAGACCCAACTCAAAGGTAATTGTGGAAGTTAGTTTTCTTCTTATTACTGCCACTTACTCTTTTTTTTATTTTTATTTTTTGGTGGAACTGGGGATTGAACTCAGGCCTTTGCACTTGCCAGGGAAGCACTTATTCCACTGAGCCATCTCCCTGGCCCCAACTTATTCTTACTTTCTAAGTTTTCCATCCAAATATACCAGTAATGTCAGAATAAGATCTGGTGCTGTAGTGTTGTTTCTTGTCCACATGTCTCTTTTGCATTCAGATGCTGTTTCAAAATGAACATTTTAGTATATCATTCTCTAACTGAAGCATAAGAATCTTTCTTGTCATTGTAATTTGAGTGTGGAAGAAGCTGAGATTTGTGCCTTCCCTTCATTTGTTTAGTTAGGTAAGTTCAAAAGATATAGGCAAGGCAAGCAGGTATGGTGGTGCTTACCTGTAAATCCCAGCACTTGGGAGGTTGAGGCAGGAGGATCCTTGCAAGTTTGCGACCAGCCCTGCAAAGTGAGCTCAAGACCAGCCTGAACTGCATAGCAATTCTCTGGCTCTTGCTCACATTCTGTCTGTCTGTCTGTCTGTCTCTGTGTCTCTGTGTTTCTGTGTCTCTGTGTGTCTGTATCTCTGTCTGTCTTCTCTCTCACACACACAGGAAGATGGAAGATTAGAAGATGTGGGCAAGTAATTATGAGATACCAACTCTGCCTTAACTAAGGTTTCTAAATGAAACTTTCCATATTTCTTCCTTTCATATCAGGAGTATACCTTATTTATATATCAAATGCCATTAGACCTAATGACAGGTCTAAAATTAAAAAATAATGATCTAGTATGGTTCTACTCAGTTTGTCCCTTGGTTTTGGGAGTTCCTCTGTATCCTGTTTAGACTCAACATTATTTTTCTTATCTGTTTATCTTCCAGTCAGATTTCTGTCTCAGAGTTGCTGTCAGTCCCTGGGTATGGTCTTTGAACCACCCTCTTCCTTTTGAACTGTACAGTCTAGCAGAGAATAATTTTGTTTTGTTTTACTCATTTGCTCCTGTAAAGGACTTCATGACTTACTGCTTTGTCTTTACCCAGTGGAGACAATTCCAAAGTCAGGTTTTGATTTCTAGTCTTAAGTTTTATTTGTGAAAAGGACATGATAATTTAATGTCTGGTGTGACCACCTCTCATGATTGCTGTGATGATCCAGCTATCAACACGGATGAATTCTGAAAGACTTCTGTTTTTATAAGGAAGTACTGAGAATTAATAACATCAGTAAATCGTTATATCTTTTACATATCAGTTTCTTTCTTGTGTTCTTGCTTTCTTTCCTTCTTTTTAGTGGCTGGCTCAGCCTACCCAGGGGGCGGGGCTGGCGCAGTTTTACATCTTTTTAGAAGAAAGTTTCTTCACACAAGTAATTTGCGTAATGCTTCTGGGTAGCTGTACTTTTTTTTTTTTTAATTTTTCCACAAATAATACACTGCATATATTCTTCTTAGTGGTTAATTGCTGTACAAGATGCGGACTTGTGATCCTATTTACAAACACCATTAGAACAAATCATTCTATTCATTAACAGAATGTAACTATATATCTATCCCAACCACTTTGAATACACAGATACAAAATGGACATTCATCTGTATACCCCATTTTTTCTAAGTTCCGTTATTGAATATTATAGGTGTGTAAACTCAGCAAAATATTCTAAAAGAGTCCAGTAGCCCATAATAGCATTGGGTCTTCTGTTTAACTGGCAATGTCAGAAATTATTGACCTGAGTCCCCCACAGCTCAACTTAACAGCATGGCTTTATTTCTTATAATTTCATCTTCATACTTTTCTGCTGGATGGTTAAGACCAAGGTAAAGCAGGACCTGTGCAACAAGAGTTGTAGCTTTTTGGTCTGAGAAGGTCAGTGAAATGCCCTCAGGATTTGTCCTGAGATCCTGTACCTCAGATTGTAGAACCTTTATCAGTGCAGCCATGTGGATGAGTCACGGCCAATGCTTGGCCAATGTGCTCTCTGTGAAAGCCTGAGAGAGTATCTTCTCCCCATGTGACTCTCCTTAGGCCCACTCTATGTCATCGATCACTTTCCTCTTTGGCCCCATTGTAGCTGTACTTTTTAAAGTACCATTTGGGTATGTAAAATATACTTTCATGCATGTTTTGGGTATATAGGAAGAATGCTATAAGATTTGAAGGACTTTATTTTTTTTCCAAGATATTTTCCCCCAGACTGTGTAGTTCAGGCTGGCCTTGAGCCCACTTTGTAGTCCAGACTGGGTCTTAGCTTGCATGGGTCCTCCTCCATCAGCCTTTTAAATGCTGGGATTATAGGCCTACACTACACACCTGGCTGTCCTGCTCTAGACTTGTAGCCTGTTACTCCATGGTCATTGGTGGGGAATCTGCTGTTATGTTTGTCTCTGTTCCTTTTTGTACAGTGGACTTTTTTTAAAAAGAAAAAATAAAGTCCTTTTCTTTTTTTCTTTCTTTCTTTTCTTTTTCTTTTTGGCCCTTTTGAGACAGTCTCATTGTGCAGTTCAGGCTGCCCCTGAGCTCACTTTGTAGCCTAGGCTGGTCTCAATCTTGGACTTGCACGGATCCTCCTGCTTCAGCCTCCCAACTGCTAGGATTACAGGTGTGTGCCACCATGCCCAGCCACTGTTTCTGGGTTTTTGAGACAGGGTCTTGGTGTGTATTTAGTGCTGACCTTGCATTAGTGTACTTTTTAAAGACTAGATAAAACATAAGCTCATTTGATTTTAATTTGTATTTTTTGTCTAAAAAAACATTAATTTGAGAGATTATTTTCCCCTAAAAATCAGGTAAATACTGACGGTCTGGTGCTAAGAGGATGGTACAACTGTCTGACCCTGGCGATATATGGCTCAGTGGATCGAGTGATAAGTCACGATCGAGACTCTCCGCCACCCCCTCCTCCTCCTCCACCACCCCCCCAGCCACAACCAAGTTTGAAAAGGAATCCAAAACATGGTGAGAATTTTAAATTTGTTTTTGCAATCAGATTTGTTTGTTATAGTAAGAAAAGCTAAGTAAAAGAACTGTTTTATCTAATGAAATTTATGTTTTTTTTTTTGTTTTTTTTTGAGAAAGGGTTAGTTCAGGCTGACTTTGAATTTACTATATAGCCCAGGTTGGCCTTGAACTCATGGCAATCCTGCCTCTGCCTCCTGAGTGTAGGAATTTTAGGCATTTGACATGCCCAGCAGAAAAAAAATTTTTTTTTTTTTTTTTTTTGCGGAACCGAGGTTTGAACTCAGGCCCTTGTGCTTGCGCTTGCCAGGGAAGCACTTAGTCCACTGAGCTATCTCCTTGGCCCCCATTATTTAATTAGCTGTGATTTAATTTTTTTAATTAGTTGGTGTATGTAGTAAACAATGTTTGCTTTTTTTCTTTTTGGTGGAACTGGGGATTGAACTCAGGCCCTTGAGCTTGCCAGGGAAGTGCTTATTCTACTGAGCCATCTCCCCGGCCCTAATGTTTGCATTTCTTGTGGGGAGTTGGAGCTGTAAATAATACATCTTAATTTCTTTTTTTCTCTTTTCCTTCTTTCCGTCCTCTATCTCTTGTTCTCTTTCCCCTTTGAAAAACATTTACCACCCTACTTACTAGCTTTTATTTTGCTGTTTATTTATACTTTGGTCTCTCACATAAGAGAAAGCATGTGATATTTAAGTTCATGTGTCTGATTTATTTCACTTAGCATTATGGTCTCCGGGTACAATCATTTTCCTACAAATAACTCAAGTTTTTTTTATGGCAGAGTAGTGCTCCATGTATGTAAATTTTAAAAATATGTCCATCTGTTCATAGACATATAGCCCTCTTCCAAGATTTGGTTTTATAGATTGTGCTGCTGTAAAACAGGAGGCATGTATCACTGTAATACAAGGTCTTAACTCTTAGGAAGTTGCCAAAAAGGGAAATAGGTAGGCCAAACAGAAGTTCTTGTTAGAGACTTTTTGAAGACCCTGTACATGTAGTAGTCCATGTTCCTGCGAACAGTGTAGAAGAGCTTTTTCCTTGCAGCCTCTCCTATATTTGTTATAATTTCTTTTAAATGTATTTAGTACAGGGTCTCCCTACACAGATACAGACTCTTAGTGATCTTCTTGTTTTCAGCCTCCCATGCACTGGGATTTACAGGCATGTACCATGATGCCTAGTCTCAGTCACCTGCTCAGCGTGCCCTGGACATGGGGCCAGCACAGCAGGCTGGGGATCGAACCCCCAGCCCCTGTGTCTGCCTAAGCAGGCGCTTTAACCCACTGAGTTATCTGGCTGGCCCCATTTCTTATAATTTGATTACTTGATAATAGCTTTTCTTTCTGGAGTAAGGTAGAAGCTCAGTGTTCTCTAATGACCAGTGATGCTAAGCTTTTGAGTCCTCTGAAGAATCAGTGGCAGTTTTTTTTTCTAATTCTGTAGGTTGTCTTTTCACTTTTTTTTTTTCCTTTGCAGAATCCTTCGGATTTGATATAATCCTGTTTTTTTGGTTCTTGGAACTTTTTCCCATGCAACCAGGGGTCTGTTCAGAAAGTCCTTACCTAAGCCTATGACTTTGAAGAGTTTTCCCTATTTTGTCATCCAGCAGTTTCTGTTTTTTAACATTCACTTAATCTGTTTTGATTTTAGTTTACTACATAAGAGCTCTGTGTCTAGATTCAGTCTTTGCATGTGGAATCCAGCACCATTTATTAAACAGGCTGGCTGTCTTTCCTCCGCTATATGTTTCTGGCTCCTTTGTCAGAGCTCAAGTAGTTGAATGCACTTGGGGTTGTATCTGCATCCTGTGTGTGTTCCATTGACCTCATGCCTTTGTGCTAGCACCATGCTGTTTTTATCATAGCAGCTTTATAATATAATTTGAGGTTCTCTCACTTTCCTCTTTTTACTTAGGCTTGATTTCGCTTTTTGGGTCTCTTCTGGTTCCATTTGAGTTTTAGGAATGTTTTCTTTAGTCCTGTGAATTATACTATTGGCGTTGTTATTGAGATTGTGTTAAATCTGTGTATGACTTTTGGAAGTGACTGCCATTGTGATTACATTGGTCTTGCCTACCCAGGAACAGGGTCTCTCTCTATTTTCTGGTGTCCTCTTTGATTTCCTTTTTAACAGTAGTTTTGATTGGAGAGGTTTTTCACTTCCTTAGCTTAATTTGTAAGTGTTTAATTTTTCTGGATGCTGTTATGAATGGTATTTTTCCTCTAATTTTTTTTCTTAGCAAGTTGTTACTGCGTAGGAATGCTATTGAGTAATTTTATTTTTATTGTTACATGCTTACATTTATATTTTCCTGGTTTTTTTTTTTTTAAACATTTATTTATTTATTTTGTGTGTGTGTGTGTGTGTGTGTGTGTGGCCAGATCAGCCCACCAGGGGGCGGGGCTGGCTGGCATGTGGTGCTGGGGGATCGAACCGC